AATATTAATGATGCAAGAAAAATACCAAGCCAATGGTGAATCCAGTGTGTTGTCGGGTTAATAATGCTGAGTCGACCGAAATTTTGTTTAACATTTACCCATTTTGGGGACAAATCAAACAAAAACATTTGAAAATAATTATAATTTCTAGGAACTTAAAGCGGGGTAGTCTTCACCTGTCAGTGTTTACAAATAGGCGTCTACCCATTAGCCTTTGCGTTTTTAGCGTGTGTTGTTATCGTCGCTCGAGACTCAAATCCCGCGCATACTATGATAAAGTATGAAAAATAGATAATTAGCATAAATAATAAAGCATAAATCGACGCTTCTGTACTTGTGTGGTGCACAATTTAGTTCTAATGCTTAACTCCTTGAGCATCAGATACATTTACCCATATATTAAAGACATTATCTAACTATACCAAATGCATTGCATAGGTTGTCGCCATGGATACCTAATGTCAGATTTTAGTTATTTATTTTCTTTTTACATATTTTCTGGAGACTTGATGTATATAATATATGAATACAGTTGTTAGTGTTTTTTTATTAAGTAATACTTTCTGGGACACGAGTCAGAAGAATGCCTCGTGGACATTATAAAATATGCACATTGTCAATTATGAATGCATAGGTCGCCGCATCTGTCCAGGTCACTCTGATATGTTTTCATCTAGCTGAAATTGATGACATTATGGCTGCCCGCTCGATTTTCATGCATTTTGAAAAGGTTGCTATAAATAAAATAATGCCTGAAACGTTCCCTAGCACCATTTCAACATCTCTAATCATAATTCTATCTTCGTATATGATAATATTACGAAACAGAACGTTGTAATTTGTGAGATGGAGAGGGATAGATATCTTAAATAGGGCCTTCTAAAAATTCGTTCACAGGCCTATTATGGACATATACCTTTCTAAACAGTATGGTGTTCTGTATGAAACGTATTCATAAAGATCACGACTCAAATTTATGGTAGGGTGTGTTTTATTCATTGCTATTGCCAAGAATTATAAAAAAGACGTTCGCATAAAATATTTAAAAAAAAGTAATGAACATCGTTGGCGCCCGCTTGTTATTAACTCGTATTATTAATACATTATTTATTAATAAATAACAAGTTTCTTTTTAACTGACGTTCTCATTTCGCTAATAACACTGGTAACATCTTACTACGTTATGATATCATTTCATCCACCTTTCGTCTGCTATATGTATAACTTGTATAACGCGATAAGTATGTTATCTGTATTTCTAAAAGGATTCCTTCTTAAAAAGAAGTCCTTTTATCCGCATGTCATAACCTAAGAGAGCATTTACCGTGAAGCCATTTTGCAATTCGCCGATGGACGTATTCCAAAATCACACACACAATACGGCACGCCTTTGCCTGACTCACTATAGGTATACTCATTTGACGACGTTGATTAATATTGAATGTATTGCATCTTGGATTAAGGTTGCAGGCACAATGAAAAAGAGATAAGGTGTATGCATGTTACACGTAAGATTATTCATTACCATGAGGTGTGTTTACTATCTTGTTCCGAGATTTTCTGAAATATGGATGGAGTTAGTAAACAATACACAAACAAATAAACACACAAACAAGCAAACAAGCAAACAAGCAAACAAACAAACAAACAGACATAAAACAGACATAGCATGATTGAATCACTTTAAGTTATTCAAGTCATTTATCATGTCAAAAATTACATTCGCTCGTGAACGTTATATGCGTAACTGAAATAAATGTGTCGTCGCAGTTTCCGTCGCGTGGTCACGGTTCGATACAGTGTTTGTTTACACGAAATTCGAACGAGCGCTGCAGGGTAGCTCGGGCATTTATATTTTATATTCACAGTTTTGTTCATTTTCAGCTCATCTCTGCCTTGTTATTAATAATAGTAACAATAAATAGTACACTAATATTTAGCAGTGCATTGTATTTCCTAAACATTTCATTTCACCATTGTCGTACTTAACACGTCAACTGGTCGCTTGGTCGTCACGTGGCTATATTCCAGTAACACCATTTGTTGAAACTATGTTTGCTGTAACTGTTATTCAAAAGTGTTATACCACTTTTCGAAATCGCACATCTGTGCTTGAAAGTGTTGAGTGGTATAATATTTTGGAGTTGGTGTTGGATCGTGCAATGTATTAGTCCCGTATTTTTTTCACAGACAACCTCATTCATAATGTGATCCATTTCAAAGTTATTAGAGAGTGTATACTACGATGATTACAGAATAATACCACGCTT